GCTGTGCCTCTGCAGAGAATGCCTGGGTCCATGTGCCGAAAATACCCAGCAAAACCGGGTAGTCTAGGGCATCATAGTCGGGACAGTCAGAGTTTCTTGTAGCAAGACGGATGTCAACCCAACCCGAAATATAACTGCCACCACAAAGAGGTGCTGTTTGCCCCTCAGGCCCTGAATGTTCCCCAGTAGACCTTTGAGGTGTGATTTGGAAACCGAGGATATTCCATCGCTGTTGTATCCAGAGCTGAGACTGATCCCTGGCCCGCTCAGAGAACCGTGCAAATTTCAATGGAATCCACAGTCCCCTCTATCGGTCAGAAAGCACACTCTCAGGAGAAGTAAACTGACTATCTGCGCCGGACTTGCGCTCTGTTGTTCCGTGAGTTATTGTGTTGCGACAAATAAGATCCGTGAACACCTTGATGAGTGCTACGAGATCTCCCTGGTGAGGGCCGGCTTTGAAGATGGGTTCGAAACAGTGGAAATTATCAGGGCTGCTGTGGTCTGTAGGGACTGCTGAGGGTTGGATTTCTTTTATTGTAAGTATTGTAATCACCGTGGTCTGTTGCTGTATACCAAGTTGAGTAGCCTGGATCTGCTGGTTAGGTGCCAGTTTGAGTCTGCAAAGCGCCCTGTGCCGGGTAAGGAGTGCCTGTGTTGTGCTATGGCCGGTGGGGGCTCGTTTAGTGCAGAGCCTGCTGATCGCCTTGACCCGATGTACCCTGTTGACGCCTCCCTTTACCTCCTGTTTCTGTTTTGTCTCTTTCGTAGAGGTAGGGGTGCAGAGGTTTTCTTGACCTTGACGCCTGGTTGAGGCTTCTAGTGTTTTGGAATACTTCCCTGGCATTTGACTTGGTTTAGCTGCTGAGAGATCAGCGTATGGCAGGGTTTCTCTGCACCCAACGTTTGCTGTATCCGTCGTAGCCTGTTGCCAGTTTACGGCGTCTTCTCGACTTCTTGACTTCTGGCGAGCCTCTCGGGGCATCGGGATTCCAGGCATGGTGTTTCTCTTCTGCCAACAGTTTTCGGCATTGATATGGAGTGGGTGGCGATGATTATTTTCAGCTTGGTGATGCATTCCTCGGTAGGTTGGGGCTGGCTGCAGACACCGCAGATACTCTGTTCAGACAGAGTGCACCAAGGTGTCCCATACCGCTGGACAACTCTGAAACACGAACTGGTTCTGTTCTGCTGTGAACGGTCCTGACATCGTACCTGCCCCAAGAACCGAGGTCAGCTGGGATGGCAGTGGTCCTACATGCTGAATGAGAACCTGTCGGGTTGGTGCGTTGCCTGCCGTCTTTTGCCTTGAGACTTGAGCTGACAAACACACGGGTGAGCTGCTACTGCCCTCGATGGGCATCATCAGCGATATCGCATCACTACACCCTTTGAGATTTTCCTGCCGAGAGTCCAGTTCCCCAAGGGTAATGAGCGATCTGCTCTCCATGAACTCTCTTCAAGGTGGTATTCATTTCTTGTTGAGAGGAGTCAATACTATACTGGTTCTCCCCCTTAAGTTTGAACCATATCTTGAACTCAGGTTGTGTCGTGAATTCCAGGGTAAAAACAACTCCATAAGTGGGTTCTTGTGGTCCCATAAGACATCACCTTGAAATTGCCCAGGTCGGTTGAGCGCTTGCCTGCTCTTTTGGACGGGACGGGTGTCTTCTCTCTTGGCCACAGTGTTTCCATCCCTCTTGGTTTTCGGGGGTGCGGGTGTTTAATCCGCACTGTTTCTAATTGTCGCTGGCTCCATGGTTGGGACTTGTCAGATCTGCTAACAATGTGAGCAGGATCTTCCTTCCTCTCCTCAACTTCTTTCGCTAGAATTTCGCCCCACATTTCCCAATCTGAGTCCTCCGTCGTGTTCAGTGGAGGCATCGTGGCTCTCGTTCTTTTCGGCAGAAGCCAAAAAAAATGGCCTATCTTGTGATAAGGTAGTGAAATCTCCGTGAACTGAGATAGTGGGTCAAAGGATTGTCCGCAAAAAGCTTGTGAAAATACTTTGAGACGTTCAGGCAACCTGGCTAGTTGGGAAGAATTATAACTTTTTGCTTGGGAGTTGTGTTGATGCGTGGGAGACATTAATGATCAAGACTCTTTTCCTGCAGTCTTTGATGAAAAAAGAAGGCAAAATGTAACATCTGAGTGGAGGAAATCTCCTCCACCACGATGCTGTGAACACTAAACTCCAAGCCGAGTGACTGATTACCTCATCCTTTTGTATAATAGTTTCTACTGTCTTCCCTATTATGTCCTAGAAATCTGTATTGAAATAGCCACTGGATCTGGCGAAACGTCTACAATAAAGATAAACCAGATGTTGCACATGTGTCTTAACTTTCATATTGTCGGCATTTTATACCTTCATTTCTAGCACCAGATTGTAGAGCGTGGTAACAGTCTGTCCTAATTGGGGTGATAGAGGCTAAGAACCTTGAGTAGCTTTAAGAAGAGAACTGGACAACTATATGATGGGGGAGGGGCTGGGTTTGAATGGTGTCATTGGGTACGGGAGTTATTTTCGTAGGTGGCTTTAGATAGAATCGTTTTGATACGGACCAGCCTCGTATGGGCCAGTAGGCCTTCCTGCAGAGTTCCTACATTCTTATGTTCCGTTATTTAGGCAACTTATTCCAAAACGTTTCGCCTACAACAGTAAGGCTTCTTCAGCAGTCGAATACAGAAAGTAGGCAGGAACAGTAAGATGTGAAGACGATTAATCGAGTTCCATCACCCTTGAAGTCGTAGAATTTGAGGTTGCAGTCCCGTCCGCCTGGAGAAGCTCAGTACATATCCAGGAACTATCTGAATATCAAGCGACCAGTGCGGAGACTTAAAATACTGGTCGGAAGAGAGGTGCAGAGTAGTAGTAGTATAGAAGTAGTGAGAGTGTAGCAACTGAGAGTACAGGTCCCTGTCCAATCCAACAGTTCTCACTTGAAAGGGTTGTCTAAGGCGTTTTCTGTACCAAGAGGCCATGTGTTGCAAATGAACATCAGAAATGGTATACAAAATACCGACAGGTTAGGTAGGTAAAACACCAAGGCAAACAGTTTTTGGAATAAAGTTGCCTAACTGTTGCTTTATTTGTCTTACCTAACAACCTTCGGAATATGAATACCATTTTGATGTTGATCTTGTCAGACACTCAACACATGGCCTCTAGGATAGAAAAACCCATTAGACAACCCTATCAAGTGAGAACTGTTTGGAATCAGACAGGACCTGACGTCTCAGTGGCTACACTCTCAATCTTACGTACTACAACTACTACATCTGCACCTCTCCTTCCGACAGTATTTAAGTCTCCGCACTGACGCTTGATCCTTCAGAAGTTTCCTGAGTCTATGGAACTGAACTTCTCCAGGCCGAGGGAACTGACAACCTCTCAAATTCTACGACTTCAAGGGTGATGGACTGATTACAAAACCGTCTTCACATCCTACTGTTCTGCCTACTTTCCTGTATTCGACTGAAAGAAGCCTACTGTGTAGGCGAAACGTTTTGGAATAAAGTTGCTCTAACTGTTTTGCCTATGTGGCCTTACTACCAACCTGTCCGGTATTGTATACCATTTTGATTTCATTGCTGTCATGTTTAAGGTTTGCTGCTCACCATACCCCTCCAGGAGCAGGAACAGTAGAGATGTGAATGACGATGTATCATCCTCAAACCCATGATACGTAGAAATCTTGAGTTTTCCAGTCCCTCAGACAAAATGGTACATCAACTCAAGCCTTTAGTACCCTCTGTGGTCCCTGTATTGTTTGTAATGGCTTGATAAAGCTCCTGGAGAGCGAAACGTTGCCACAATAAATGTCACATTAGTTGCACTTGTGTCCTTTTACTTTACAGTTCCATAGTCAGGAACTATCTGAAGATCAAGCGACAGTGCGGAGACTTAAATACTGTCGTCTACTGTGTAGGCGAAACGTTTCGGAATAAAGTTGCCTAACTGTTGCCTATGTGTCTTACCTACCAACTTGTCGGTATTTGTTACCAAGGTTTATACCGATAAACGTTTTAAACAGTGAATGACTCCTGATGCATTTATCCTAATTCTTGCGTAGTTTTGGATAAAAGATGGACACGAGAGTGGGTGAGGATAGTTGGTTTTGACGAGGACCTGCTTCTGACCTGAGACGGACTGAGTGAGGTGGCAAATATGGTCAGGTGGTATCCACTTCTGACCTATATAAGATTCTTTGGTGAAGGGTTCCATAATGCTCGTGAATAACTATTAAAGCAGTTCCATTGACAACCTTTGAAAACTACTTCCCCTAATTTTTTAGAGACAATATGGAAAAGTTCCAAGATAATTTACAAAACCCCGTGAAGGAGCTGGATCATGGCCTGTTTTGATATGTCTCACTTTTTACATCGGCTGCAACTCCTGTGAAAGGTAAGCACAGTAAATGTTTTATGTCAATATATTAATAATGCTGCTATTTTTACAAGACGAGTAATGGGTATCATTACTGCCTGTTCACCTAGACTAAACAGTTACATACTTTATCAATTCACTAATTTACATTCGAAACTTATTTGTTTTTATTGTATATTTTTTAAGCTTCATTTATATAACTAATATTTTTGTTAATATAACTATATTTTTTTTATTATCACACTGGCCGATTCCCACCAAGGCAGGGTGGCCCGAAAAAGAAAAACTTTCACCATGATTCACTCCATCACTGTCTTGCCAGAAGGGTGCTTTACACTACAGTTTTCAAACTGCAACATTAACACCCCTCCTTCAGAGTGCAGGCACTGTACTTCCCATCTCCAGGACTCAAGTCCGGCCTGCCGGTTTCCCTGAACCCCTTCATAAATGTTACTTTGCTCACACTCCAACAGCATGTCAAGTATTAAAAAACATTTGTCTCCATTCACTCCTATCAAAAACGCTCACGCATGCCTGCTGGAAGTCCAAGCCCATCGCACACAAAACCTCCTTTACCCCCTCCTTCCAACCTTTCCTAGGCCGACCCCGACCCCGCCTTCCTTCCACTACAGACTGATACACTTTTTAAGTCACACTTTTTCGCTCCATTCTCTATAACTATAATGGTAATTTACTTGCTAAGATGTTCTGCATCAAATGACAACAAGTGTTGGTTATTATTATGAACCTTTCTCGACTGCTATCAGTATTCCATGAAATTTAAATATAAATTTCTGTGAAGTTTTAAAATTGCTGAAATTAAGTTTGGAACCAACCAATAAGTGGAAAGGTTTTCTGACACCTTTTTATTTCAGATGAGTCGGCAGTCGGAGGCCGATTGCAAAACTCGCTTGACGAGGGGGGTATTCGCCTGTTTGATATGTCTCAAATTTTACGTTTTCCAGCAATTCCTTCGGAAGGTAAGCACAATATATCTTTACTGTCAATATCGAAATTTATAGAATGATAAGATAATAAATTATTTTTTTTACAAGACGAATGTGGTGAACTACCACATTTTATCAACATGTCGGTAATGTGATATATGAGATTAAGACACATGTGCAACATCTGGGTAGTAGGTCCTTCAACTGGGGAATCCCGCCTACCAGTGAATATGCCCTCGTCTGCTACACCTGACGTTACTATATAAGCGCCAGGCTCCTTTCTTCTGCTTCAGAATCTCCACGACTATGGTGCTCTTCGCACCTACTCCTAGGTTGAGGGACTGATTACGTCATCTTCTGTACATAGTTCTACTGTCTTCAAGTTATGTCCTAGAATTTGTATTGATAAAGCCACTGTATGGTGAAACGTCTGCAATAAAGATACCCAGATGTTGCACATGTGTCTTAATCTCATCTTGTCGGTATTATATACCATTCGTACACAATGTGATATATGAAAACAGCCTTTACATTTAAAACCTGTTAGCTTCATTTATATAATTAATACTTGTTTATTGTTAATGTAAAAATAACCTCAATTTTTCTAATAAGATTTACTACGTGAAATACTCTCGTTACTGTTTTGATTGAGCCTTTGTCCGACTATGATGAACTGTTCAATGTGTCGAATTAATTTCAAGAAATTAATATAGAAATCACAGAATGGGTTTTGAACTACAAAAAATAAATTTTGTAGAAACGCAATTTTTTTTTTTTCAGATGAGTTGGTAGTCAGGGGCCGATTGGTAAACGAGACTTGCCATAAACAAATTGACAATATCGGTCCAATTACAGTCACATTTCCCTTTGAAATTGGAGAGCAATTTCACCAAGGAATTTCTAGTAATGTGGGCAAGGTTAAGAAACAGAAAACAGTTCTTTGTGAACACCTTATCAAGTCTTCAAGCCAGAGAAACGAGTCACCTGCCATGCCTGTGGACTCATTGTTGCCACTCGAGGTCACCTGGAGAGGCACCAACGCTCCCATGGAGCAAATAATACCTACAAATGTTACCTATGTGACTGTAGCTTCACCCGAAAGAAGAAAGTGTTGGACCATCTTGATAAAGCCCATGGCATAATAACACCAAAGTTTGCTATATAAAGAAAGTGATGCTCACAGTAACATGACTGTAATCATTAAAATGTTTATAACTGATTTAAAGATTCTGGATATTTGATGTTTAGCGAAGATGAACTAGGGAATACTTGTGTTTCAAACCATACCACGGGTGGGGATAGAACCCGCGATCAGAGAGTCTCAAAACTCCAGACTGTCGCGTTAGCCACTGGTATGGTTTGTTTGCAATTGTGTTTCAATGTAGAATTCTTACCATTCTGAATGCATGTGTTACATGTATATTATAATATGTAAATAATTGCAAGTAATGATTTTTGCTGTCAAAGAGTTAATAATTTTATTATGAATGAGTTGTAATAATTTTAAGGTTGAACATAAATGGTATGCAATACCTGCTAGATTTATACTGGACACGTGCAACATCTGGGTATCTTTGTTGTAGACTTTCTGCCACCGAAGGGCTTCATCAATATAATTCAAGGACATAATTTGAAGACAGTGGTAGTCGTAAAGAATTTCTAGATGTTGCACATGTGTTTAATTTTCATCAATAATTTTAAGTATGAATAAAGTTGCAATTTAGTGTTAATGACCTGGATATTTAATATCTAATGATGATGATCTTTTTATTATTATTAAAGATTCGCCGGTATTCTCTCGGCCCGGGCCATTTCCAAGTGGTGGCCCGGCCCTGGCTCTCTGTCTGGGAGGAGGCACAAGTACCCCCTCATCTTTGGGACCAACTGTCCTCAGGCCTAGCCACTAGCTAGGCTTCTCTGGTCTTCCTTCCCAGCCCCAAGGGGGCTAATGGGAATGGCAGGCTTGTGAGCTGTATGCTCTGGCTCAGGCACCTACCCTACCCTAGAAGGGCTGGGCATGGTGTCGTTTCCCTGATGATGAGATATGGAATACTTCTCTTTTAATGTAGTATTCGTAAAATTAAGGGTATATCTGTTATATGTATATTAAATTATTTACTGCATATTATGTGATATTTTGATTACTAAAAGTAAATTATTTAACTTCTGATTCATTTTTTGTGTATTTTATTTAAAACATCACAGAACAGTAAATAAATAAAATAATAAGGGACCTATCCGGCAACAGATGTAATAAGAACATAAGAAAGGAGGAATATTGCAGGAGGCCTGTTGGCCCATACTAGGCAGGTCCTTTACAATTCATCCCACTAACAAAACATTTGCACAACCCAATTTTCAATGCCACCTAAGAAATAAGCTCTGATGTGAAAGTCCCACTCAAATCCAACCCCTCCCACTCATGTACTTATCCAACCTAAATTTGAAACTACCCAAATTCCCAGCCTCAATAACCCAACTAGGTAGACTGTTCCACTCATCAACTACCCTATTTCCAAACCAATACTTTCCTATGTCCTTTCTAAATCTAAACTTATCTAATTTAAATACATTACTGCGGGTTCTCTCTTGAAGAGACATCCTCAAGACCTTATTAATATCTCCTTTATTAATACCTATCTTCCACTTATACACTTCGATCAGGTCTCCCCTCATTCTTCATCTAACAAGTGAATGTAACTTAAGAGTCTTCAATCTTTCTTCATAAGGAAGATTTCTAATGCTATGTATTAATTAACTGTGCATTGATTAACTGCTCATTGACTACAGTGCACCGGCTTTAGCTCATCTCTTCCCGCAGAGCAGGCAAAGGGTGGAGGTCGTACAAAACCAGGCGATAAGAACTATGCTTGGGGCCCCCATCTGGACCAACACAGTATGTCTCAGATCTGAGGCCCGGCTTCCTTCCTTAGCTGACAGAGTAAGAACATAAGAACATAAGAAAGGAGGAACACTGCAGCAGGCCTGTTGGCCCATACTAGGCAGGTCCTTTACAATTCATCCCACTAACAAACATTTGACCTACCCAATTTTCAATGCTACCCAAGAAATAAGCTCTGATATGCAAGTCCCATTCAAATCCAACCCCTCCCACTCATGTACTTATCCAACCTAAATTTGAAACTACCCAAAGTCCTAGCCTCAATAACCCAACTAGGTAGACTGTTCCACTCATCAACTACCCTATTTCCAAACCAATACTTTCCTATGTCCTTTCTAAATCTAAACTTATCTAATTTAAATCCATTACTGCGGGTTCTCTCTTGGAGAGACATCCTCAAGACCTTATTAATATCCCCTTTATTAATACCTATCTTCCACTTATACACTTCGATCAGGTCTCCCCTCATTCTTCATCTAACAAGTGAATGTAACTTAAGAGTCTTCAATCTTTCTTCATAAGGAAGATTTCTAATGCTATGTATTAATTAACTGTGCATTGATTAACTGCTCATTGACTACGGTGCACCGGCTTTAGCTCATCTCTTCCCGCAGAGCAGGCAAAGGGTGGAGGTCGTACAAATCCAGGCGATAAGAACTATGCTTGGGGCCCCCATCTGGACCAACACAGTATGTCTCAGATCTGAGGCCCGGCTTCCTTCCTTGGCTGACAGAGTAAGATACATAAATGCCTGCAAAGTGGCCACGATTCTGCACCGGCAGCAAGGTACCCCACTAAGGAGACGGATATTAACAACCATGTCACAAGATCCCACACTCTTCACGGACTACTCCTGGATTCGTTCGTTTTGTGCTGCTGGGCGGAAGCTGCTGCCTGTACAGCTGCTCTGTGAGAAAAGTTGTGACCTTCCTGTTGCTGGGTACCATCCACCACCTCCCTGGCGCCCAGATCCAGCCGATGTTTTCATCATACAGCTACCCATCTCTAAGTGTCTCTGCAGTCAAGACACCCTCAGCAATCATGCTGAGACAAGCATGGCACTGGCAGAGGGAGGCACATGTGCAGTGTATTTCACAGATGGTTCTGTCGACCCTGAGAGGAAGAGAGCAGCAGCTGGACTGTACCACAATGATCACACACAAGGCTGGCGACTCCCTGACCACTGCACGATCCTTCAAGCTGAGCTGGTGGCGATTCAGCAGGCATTGTCACATGCCCTACGACATCGACTCCGACCTGTCATACATGTTGATTCCACCTCTGCAATCAATGCCCTCTCCCATCCTCAACCACAGGATAATGTTCACCTCATCACATCGATCCTGAGCATAATGACAAGTGACAGGTGACAGGTCCTTAGCTTCGAACTATAGACCAATAAGCCTAACCTCCATAGTGGGAAAATTTATGGAATCAATAATTGCCGAGGCAGTTCGTAGCCACCTTGAAAAGCATAAATTAATCAACGAATCTCAGCATGGTTTTACAAAGGGGCGTTCCTGCCTTACGAATTTATTAACTTTTTTCACTAAGGTATTTGAGGAGGTAGATCATGGTAATGAATATGATATTGTGTATATGGACTTCAGTAAGGCTTTTGACAGGGTCCCACATCAGAGACTATTGAGGAAAATTAAAGCACATGGAATAGGAGGAGAAATTTTTTCCTGGATAGAGGCATGGTTGACAAATAGGCAGCAGAGAGGTTTGCATAAATGGGGAGAAATCAAGTGGGGAAGCGTCACGAGCGGTGTTCCACAGGGGTCAGTGTTGGGCCCCCTGCTGTTCACAATCTACATAAACGACATAGATGAGGGCATAAAGAGCGACATCGGCAAGTTTGCCGATGACACCAAAATAGGCCGTCGAATTCATTCTGACGAGGACATTCGAGCACTCCAGTAAGATTTGAATAGACTGATGCAGTGGTCGGAGAAGTGGCAGATGCAGTTAATATAGACAAATGCAAAGTTCTAAATGTTGGACAGGACAATAACCATGCCACATATAAACTAAATAATGTAGATCTTAATATTACGGATTGCGAAAAAGATTTAGGAAACCAAGACAACAGTGCATAAGTGTTCGCAATAAAGCTAATAGAATCCTTGGCTTCATATCAAGAAGCATAAATAATAGGAGTCCTCAGGTTGTTCTTCAACTCTATACATCCTTGGTTAGGCCTCATTTAGATTATGCTGCACAGTTTTGGTCACCGTATTACAGAATGGATATAAATTCTCTGGAAAATGTACAAAGGAGGATGACAAAGATGATCCCATGTATCAGAAACCTTCCCTATGAGGATAGACTAAGGGCCCTGAAACTGCACTCTCTAGAAAGACGTAGAATTAGGGGGGATATGTTGAGGTTTATAAGTGGAAGACAGGAATAAATAAAGGGGATGTAAATAGTGTGCTGAAAATATCTAGCCTAGACAGGACTCGCAGCAATGGTTTTAAGTTGGAAAAATTCAGATTCAGGAGGGATATAGGAAAGTACTGGTTTGGTAATAGAGTTTGGATGAGTGGAACAAACTCCCAAGTACCGTTATAGAGGCCAGAACGTTGTGTAGCTTTAAAAATAGGTTGGATAAATACATGAGTAGATGTGGGTGGGTGTGAGTTAGACCTGATAGCTTGTGCTAACAGGTCGGTTGCCGTGTTCCTCCCTTAAGTCAATGTGACCTGACCTGACTAGGTTGGGTGCATTGGCTTAGGCCGGTAGGGACTTGGACCTGCCTCGCATGGGCCAGTAGGCCTTCTGCAGTGTTCCTTCGTTCTTATGTTCTTATGTAATAGATCGACATTGAACTGGATCCCCAGCCATGCTGGCATCCGGGGAAATTAGGCGGCAGATGATGCAGCCAAGGCAGCAACAGACTATCCACATGTTGGGATTACAGTCCCAATCAGCCTACGACAGACCAAAATTAATACATACATATGTATTAATTTAGTCATCCTACGCTGAATGTTTTCTAACGAATTTATGTCCATTCTGTGATATGGAGAACAGAACTAAGCTGCATTATATTACCAGTACATGAAATACATTTAGCACACTTAAGTAATTCACTGCACGCAATGAAAAATATTCCTAAAATTCTTTCCAGCACAAACGTGAGGGAAGCCTTCCCCCGCCTTGCATTTCTCACCCAAAAACCTATTACCTGGAGTTTACCTGGAGAGAGTTTCGGGGGTCAACGCCCCCGCGGCCCGGTCTGTGACCAGGCCTCCTGGTGGATCAGCGCCTGATCAACCAGGCTGTTGCTGCTGGCTGCACGCAAACCAACGTACGAGCCACACCCCGGCTGATCAGGAACTGACTTTAGGTGCTTGTCCAGTGCCAGCTTGAAGACTGCCAGGGGTCTGTTGGTAATCCCCCTTATGTGTACTGGGAGGCACTTGAACAGTCTCGGGCCCCTGACACTTATTGTATGGTCTCTTAACGTGCTAGTGACACCCCTGCTTTTCATTGGGGGGATGGTGCATCGTCTGCCAAGTCTTTAAGAACATAAGAACATAAGAATGGAGGAACACTGCAGAAGGCCTACTGGCCCATGCGAGGCAGGTCCTTATCAAAACGACCTCTACCTGAAGCTACCCAAGAAATAACTCCTGTACCCAATGACACCAATCAAACCCAGCCCTTCCCACTCATATATTTGTCCAGTCTCTTCTTAAAGCTACCCAAGGTCCTAGCCTCTATCCCCATACTGGGAAGACTGTTCCACGCATCTACAACTCTGTTAGAAAACCAGTACTTACCTATGTCCTTTCTAAATCTAAATTTATCCAAATTAAATGCATTATTTCTGGTTCTTACCTGGTTCGACACCCTCAGTACTTTATTAATATCTCCCTTGTTTATGCTCGTCTTCCACTTATACACTTCAATGATATCTCCCCTCATTCTACGCCTCTCCAGAGAGTGGAGATTTAAGGCTTTAAGCCTATCTTCATACGGGAGGTTCCTTACAGAGTAAGATCATAAGAACATAAGAATGGAGGAACACTGCAGAAGGCCTACTGGCCATGCGAGGCAGGTCCTTATCAAAACGACTACTAACCAAAGCTTCCCAAGAAACAACTCCCGCACCCAATGACACCATTCAGACCCAGCCCCTCCCACTCATATATTTGTCCAGTCTCTTCCTAAAGCTACCCAAGGTCCTAGCTATGTATTAATTTAGTCATCCTATGCTGAATGTTTTCTAACGAATTTATGTCCATTCTGTAATATGGAGACCAGAATTGAGCTGCATAACTTAGGTGAGGCCTTACTAATGATGTATAAAGCTGCAGTATGGCCTCTAGACTTCTGTTGCTTACACTTCTTGATATAAATCCCAGTAATCTATTTGCCTTATTACGTACGCTTAGGCATTGCTGTCTTGGTTTAAGGTTGCTGCTCACCATAACCCCCAGGAGGCAGGAACAGTAGAGATGCGAAGACGATGTAATCAGTCCATCACCCATGAAGTCGAAGAATTTTGAGGTTTTCAGTCCCTCAGCGAAAATGGTACCTCACTAGTATTGCACCTCACTCAGAGCCTTTATGTACCCTCTGTGTCCATGTATTGTTTGTAATGGCTTGATAAAGCTCCTGGAGAGCGAAACGTTGCCACAATAAATGTCACATTAGTTGCACTTGTGTCCTTTTACTTCACAGAGTTGTAGATGCGTGGAACAGTCTTCTCAGTGGGGTGATAGAGGTTAGGACCTTGGGTAGCTTTAAGAAGAGACTGGACAAATATATGAGTGGGAGGGGCTGGGTTTGATTGGTGTCAAGGGGTACGGGAGTTATTTCTAGATTATGCAGGGCCTCACCTAGATTATGTATGGCCTCACCTAGATTATGCAGCTCAATTCTGGTCTCCATATTACAGAATGGACATAAATTCGTTAGAAAACATTCAGCGTAGGATGACTAAATTAATACACAGCATTAGAAATCTTCCTTATGAAGAAAGATTGAAGACTCTTAAGTTACATTCACTTGTTAGACGAAGAATGAGGGGAGACCTGATCGAAGTGTATTAGTGGAAGATAGGTATTAATAAAGGGGATATTAACAAGGTCTTGAGGATATCTCTCCAAGAGAGAACCCGCAGTAATGGATTTAAATTAGATAAGTTTAGATTTAGAAAGGACATAGGAAAGTATTGGTTTGGAAATAGGGTAGTTGATGAGTGGAACAGTCTACCTAGTTGGGTTATTGAGGCTAGGACTTTGGGTAGTTTCAAATTTAGGTTGGATAAGTACATGAGTGGGAGGGGTTGGATTTGAGTGGGACTTGCACATCGGAGCTTGTTTCTTGGGTGGCATTGAAAATTGGGTTGGGCAAATGTTTTGTTAGTGGGATGAATTGTAAAGGACCTGCCTAGTATGGGCCAACAGGCCTCCTGCAGTGTTCCTCCTTTCTTATGTTCTTATGTTCTTATGAGTAGCTTTAGGTAGATGTCGTTTTGATAAGGACCTGCCTCGTATGGGCCAGTAGGCCTTCTGCAGTGTTCCTACATTCTTATGTTCTTATGTTCTATCTGAAGATCAAGCGACAGTGCGGAGACTTAAATACTGTCGTCTACTGTGTAGGCGAAACGTTTCGGAATAAAGTTGCCTAACTGTTGCCTATGTGTCATACCTACCAACTTGTCGGTATTTGTTACCAAGGTTTATACCGATAAACGTTATAAACAGTGAATGACTCCTGATGCATTTATCCTAATTCTTGCGTAGTTCTGGATAAAAGATGGACACGAGAGTGGGTGAGGATAGTTGGTTTTGACGAGGACCTGCTTCTGACCTGAGACGGACTGAGTGAGGTGGCAAATATGGTCAGGTGGTATCCACTTCTGGCCTATATAAGATTCTTTGGTGAAGGATTCCATAAGGCTCGTGAATAACTATTAAAGCAGTTCCATTGACAACCTTTGAAAACTACTTCCATAATTTTTAGAGACAATATGGAAAAGTTCCAAGATAATTTACAAAACCCCGTGAAGGAGCTGGATCATGGCCTGTTTGATATGTCTCACTTTTTACATCGGCCTGCAACTCCTGTGAAAGGTAAGCACAGTAAATGTTTTATGTCAATATATTAATAATGCTGCTATTTTTACAAGACGAGTAATGGGTATCATTACTGCCTGTTCACCTAGACTAAACAGTTACATACTTTATCAATTCACTAATTTACATTCGAAACTTATTTGTTTTTATCGTATATTTTTTAAGCTTCATTTATATAACTAATATTTTTGTTAATATAACTATATATTTTTTATTATCACACTGGCCGATTCCCACCAAGGCAGGGTGGCCCGAAAAAGAAAAACTTTCACCATCATTCACTCCATCACTGTCTTGCCAGAAGGGTGCTTTACACTACAGTTTTCAAACTGCAACATTAACACCCCTCCTTCAGAGTGCAGGCACTGTACTTCCCATCTCCAGGACTCAAGTCCGGCCTACCGGTTTCCATGAACCCCTTCATAAATGTTACTTTGCTCACACTCCAACAGCATGTCAAGTATTAAAAACCATTCCAAGCCCCTCGCACACAAAACCTCCTTTACCCCCTCCCTCCAACCTTTCCTAGGCCGACCCCGACCCAGCCTTCCTTCCACTACAGACTGATACACTCTTTAAGTCACACTTTTTCGCTCCATTCTCTATAACTATAATGGTAATTTACTTGCTAAGATGTTCTGCATCAAATGACAACAAGTGTTGGTTATTATTATGAACCTTTCTCGACTGCTATCAGTATTCCATGAAATTTAAATATAAATTTCTGTGAAGTTTTAAAATTGCTGAAATTAAGTTTGGAACCAACCAATAAGTGGAAAGGTTTTCTGACACCTTTTTATTTCAGATGAGTCGGCAGTCGGAGGCCGATTGCAAAACTCGCTTGACGAGGGGGGTATTCGCCTGTTTGATATGTCTCAAATTTTACGTTTTCCAGCAATTCCTTCGGAAGGTAAGCACAATATATCTTTACTGTCAATATCGAAATTTATAGAATGATAAGATAATAAATTATTTTTTTTACAAGACGAATGTGGTGAACTACCACATTTTATCAACATGTCGGTAATGTGATATATGAAAACAGCCTTTACATTTAAAACCTGTTAGCTTCATTTATATAATTAATACTTGTTTATTGTTAATGTAAAAATAACCTCAATTTTTCTAATAAGATTTACTACGTGAAATACTCTCGTTACTGTTTTGATTGAGCCTTTGTCCGACTATGATGAACTGTTCAATGTGTCGAATTAATTTCAAGAAATTAATATAGAAATCACAGAATGGGTTTTGAACTACAAAAAATAAATTTTGTAGAAACGCAATTTTTCTTTTTTTTTTCAGATGAGTTGGTAGTCAGGGGCCGATTGGTAAACGAGACTTGCCATAAACAAATTGACAATATCGGTCCAATTACAGTCACATTTCCCTTTGAAATTGGAGAGCAATTTCACCAAGGAATTTCTAGTAATGTAGGCAAGGTTAAGAAACAGAAAACAGTTCTTTGTGGAACACCTTATCAAGTCTTCAAGCCAGAGAATCGAGTCACCTGCCATGCCTGTGGACTCATTGTTGCCACTCGAGGTCACCTGGAGAGGCACCAACGCTCCCATGGAGCAAATAATACCTACAAATGTTACCTATGTGACTGTAGCTTCACCCGAAAGAAGAAAGTGTTGGACCATCTTGATAAAGCCCATGGCATAATGACACCAAAGTTTGCTATATAAAGAAAGTGATGCTCACAGTAACATGACTGTAATCATTAAAATGTTTATAACTGATTTAAAGATTCTGGATATTTGATGTTAGAGAAGAGAACTAGGAATACTTGTGTTTCAAACCATACCACGGGTGGGGATAGAACCCGCGATCAGAGTCTCAAAACGCCAGGCTTCGCGTTAGCCACTGGTATGGTTTGTTGCAATTGTGTTTCAATGTAGAATTCTTACCATTCTGAAATGCATGTGTTACATGTATATTATAATAGTAAATAATGCAAGTATGATTTTTGCTGTCAAAGAGTTAATAATTTTATAATGAATGAGTTGTATAATTTTAAGGTTTGAACATAAATGTATGCAATCCTGCTAGATTTATACCTGGACACACGTGCAACATCGCTGGTATTCTTTGGTCTTGTTTGTAGACATTCTTCTGCCACCGAAGGGCTTTCATCAATATAATCAAGGGACATACTTTGAAGACAGTGAGTAGTCGTAAAGAATTTCAAGATTTGCACATGTGATTTAATTTTCATCAATTAAAAATTTATAAGTAGAATAAAGTTTGCAATTTAGTGTTAATGACCTGGATATTTAATATCTAATGATGAATCTTTTTATATTATTATTAAAGATTCGCCGTATTCTCCCGGCCCGGGCCGTTTTCCAAGTGGTGGCCCAGCCCTGGCTTCTCTGTCTGGGAGGAGGCACAAGTAACCCTCTCATCTTTGGGACCATACTGTCCCCAGGCCTAGCCACTAGCTAGCTTCTCTGGTCTTCCTTTCTCCAGCCCCAAGGGCTAATGGGAATGGCAGCTTGTGAGCTGTTAAGCTCCGGCTCAGGCACCTACCCTACCCTAGAAGGGCTGGGCCATGGTGTCGTTTCCCTGATGATGAGATATGGAATACTTTCTTTTAATGTAGTATTTTCGTAAATTAGGGTATATCCTGTTTATATGTATATTATAATTATTTAACTGCATATTATGTGGATTATTTTGATTACTAAAATAAATTATTTTAACTCTGATTCATTTTTTGTGTATTTTTATTTAAGGGACTCGAGCGATGAAAGCCGTAAATTAAATAAAAATAAGTAAGGGACCTATCCGGCAACAGATGTAATAACCTTCCATTGCCTAATAATTCACCACACACAACACAACCCTTCTGAGCACGCCGCCTCCACCCCGCCCCTTTATCCCCCACTGATTCTAAATCAAAAGGTTTTCACAGTAACATGCGAAAATCCTGCAGATATGATACATTACATTACAGCTGTCATGGTCATCTGCAAATGGATATAACGCTCACAAGACTGCTTGAAACAATGCAGTTAAGTATATATCAGAACAATCATTAATTACCAGTACATGTATACATTAGCACACTTCTAAGTAATTCACTGCAGTGTTGGAGTGGAGGCCATCGACTGTGATTCCACTACAGAAATGATTGGAGTTGGTATACAATTTCTACTATTTCCTGCCAGCCTTTTTTTGTGTTCTTCCTGGCACTATAAACCTCTCTCTCCTGATGGCTGTGGCTACCCAGTTGGCCCATGGTCTGGAATGTTCTGTGTCTTCTTGTATTCTATTGATGGTGTTGCCTGGCAAAATAATCATAGCACTGTCTTTCTTGAACTGAAGAGTGGCACATTTCAGGGCAGAAAATCTTACAGGATGGGAGGTTGCATTTTCCTGTTGTCATATGGGCACGGCAATTTCTGGGGTGGTTAAAGTTGCACGTCCCATCTGTTTTTCCAGATCTGTTTTTCCATCTGTTTTTCCAGGTCTATGCAAAGTATTTTCATAGACCTGGCTTCTGCTTGCCTTGCTTCTTTTTGGTGACTGTATTCTCAAGTGTATTCCCTACTGATGAGTGTTGTCCTGTCTCATTTCTAACCTCAGCACTAATGGAGCCTTCATCAGTTATTTCTGGTAATTGATCTTCACTATTTCTCAGAGCACCCCCTTCATTCCCCATTATTTAGCTGAGAAGTGCTAGGGTCATGTACATTACCGAGCTTCAGAACTTTGAATTTATCTACAATGAATTGCAACAATTTCGCTTCCTTGTTCCAGATCCCTATCTTTGGGGACGTATACACGCCTAAAATCAATTTTTTTCATACCCCTCTGAAAATTCTATCCAGACAGACTCTGGAAGTTTTATTTCAGACCTAATACCAATTTCACGCAATGTTTCAGCGATCTCGTCATACAGAGCCACCCTAGTACCCCCCTACCCGATACCTTCTGTCTACTTGGAGCAGTCAAAAACTTTGGAATATGATTCGTTTCACATGCATGTATCAATATTTCATATTAAACCACAACTTCAGTTTATGGAAATATATCAGTGATACCCGCACTTGCAACTAATACTCAATATCATGAATCATAATCTATCACTACGTACCATCAATATAATATAACTTTAGAAATCCTCCTTCTCTTTTCTCATTCTGCTCATTTCTATTTCTCTACTATCCTTTTTCAGTTACATAAATACATGAATGAGACAGGGACTTGAATGAATGTGACTTGAACATTAGGTAATAATATCAAAGTGTATTCCATGTGTAGCAGTGAATATGGGTTGATTATTCTGTATCACCATGGATTTTGCAACTTTATTCATGCTTAAAATTATAACAATTCATCAGAAAAAAAGGTCATTCGTCGCTGAACCCTCGAGACCAGCGGACGTGCGCTGAGCCTGCCCCCTGCTGTCAGTTGGAGACAACTTGATTTTCGCAAAATGGCACAGCAGGGTAGATGCCGGGTAAACACTGTCGGTATTTAAGTGGTACATGGGGCTGTGTATGCCCACTCAACTCAGCTTTTACTGCCTGCCATCATCAGGGACATGTATGGTATAGCAAATGAAGAGCTGTATGGAGTGGCGTTGAGTGGTGCATACCGGAGCTTTGTGAAGTTTCACAACGCTAGTGTATATGAAGACAAGGTCCCCAGATTTCAGGATATTTGTATGCCAGTGAATCCTGCTGTGACGGTGAGGCTCCATGAAGTGTCCCATTACTACACATGGGTAAAGATATGGGATGTGCCTATCGAGGCTGATGAGGTGGATCTGCATGCCGTGTTTGAAAAATATTGGACAGTTCACATGGCGACACTGGGGAAGTGGAAGGAAGGATCATATGCTGGGATGCTTAAGGGAAGTTTCTCTTTGAAAATGACATTACGGAATCCCATTCCTTCCTATGTGCAACTTGACGAATTTAGGGCAACGACGTCCTTGTTGTTTGTGCGATGCCTATGACCACATTGCTGTGCAGAGTGTTTAACAGCAGGGTTCACAGGCAGATGATCAATGTAAGGAGGCACCAGAGGAACGAGAGAAGATGGAGGGGGCAAGACAAGAGAAACCTACTTTGCGTAAGGCTCGGAGTGTGGAGGTGGATGAGGCGGAATTGATGGAGGGAGAGTGTGTGATGCTTCTGGGGGAACTGAGCTCTTCCAAGCAGCCACTGGAGAATGTAGGTGAGGTGGTGCTTGGTGAGGACAGGGACGTGGAGGCCACCATTGACAGTTCTCCACGACTGCTTAGGAACCCCAGGTGAGGTCTTTGATGAGAGGCTTGTGGGTGCCCTGGAGTCTGCTGTGGTTATGGTAGGTGTTGGTGGACATGTCGAGGGCTCAAGTTGATGCTTCTTTGCAGAGCTGTACTGTGGTGGTGGAAGTGCACACGGATGGCTTCTGGGAGGATGTTGGGAAGAAGGCTAGAGGGGTCATGGAAGAGAGTGGATATGCTCTTGGATTTGGAAGATGTGCTCACCCCAGCACAGAATTCGGGTAAAAAGGTTTGGGTGAATGTAGAGGAGTGTGGACCTGGAATATCCAGGGGCAAAGGTGTGGTGAAAGGTGGTTCCAGAGGGGTGTGAGGACTAAAGGGGTATTAGGAGGAAGGGAAAAAGGGGTGTAGCTGTGTGTAAAGGCAAACCTTCTCTGACAGCTTCAAGAGTCTCACTATAAATATTAATGGATTGAGAAATGAAAGGAAGTGCGCTTGGTTTCGAGAGTTTATAATTAGGTATGGTGCAGATGTTGTGTTTGTACAAGAGCACAATCACAAGCCGGGTTGTATGTTGGTGATTGAGGGGTACACTGTATATGCAGCACACTCACTGAGTTTTTCCGTGACGTGTTGGTATATCACCTGAGGTCGCTTCTGGCGATAGCTGTGGTGAGAGGAGACTGGAATTGTGTGATCCATCATAGAGATGTGGAACCTAGGGAGGCAGGATATTGTTCTGCCATTTCGAGGTAGCTGCTAACTGGGGTGGGGTTGGTGGATGTGGGGGGTGCAGCATGGGAGGTGGAGCATGCCTTTGTGAGAAAGGGGCATGCGGCAAGGCTGGACAGACTATACATGATGAGAAAAGCAGTGATACAGACAGTAAGTGTCTTGGATGTGGTCTTTTCAGATCACAGAGGTGTTTGGTGGAATTGGGATGGGAGGGGTTGCCGAACAGGCATAAGACCTATTGGAAATTGAATGCTTCGTTACTTAAAGATGTCGAGGGGAGGGTCGTATTTGAATGTGTGTGAGAAAGGTTGTGGGAAGGGGTGAGCATGGAGAGGGATGTGTTGAGTTGGTGGGATACAACAGCGAAGACGAGGATTCGAGAATTCTATGTATGCCAGGGGAGGCATGAGAACCAGTTGGCTTATGGGCTTATTAAGTATCTCGAGGGGCAGTTAAGGAAGTGTTATGAGAGAGGGGGAGGGGGTTGGGAGCCCCAGTGGCAGGCATAGAGGGTTTGAAGGATATACTCAGGGAATTGCAAAATGAATGGTTAGATGCAGGAAGGGTTTTAGGGGGGTTAGAGGAGGTAATATGGGGTGATAGACCATTGGCGTGTGTCCTGCAAGGGCAGGCACGTCGGCGTGTTGCTACAGAATTAGTAGGATTGCAGGTCCACAAGGAAATGGAGGGGTATAGGGAGGGGCAAGAGCTGGTTACAATGGAGGGGATTGGGGTATGTAGGTGCTTGGTTTAGTGCAT